CCTTTCTTTTTTTGCCGCCTGCTTCTTGAACAGGCGCATTATCCTTGACATTGTCAATCTTTCCTCCACTGGACCCAGCGGCCATAACAGTGGGCTTGACATCCGAGAGATAGCATTCTCGTGCCATCCTCTGATCTCCCCTTAGGGAGCCGACTGTTCCATTGTCCCTCTCAAACTTGAGCAACATAAGAAATGGGATTATTACAGCCTTGGAATTATTTAGGGTTGGTCGTCCCAGAATCAAGTTGTAGGCCGAGAGTTCTTCTACCACCAGGAACCGGACTACCATGTGTCGTCCTTCCCCTTTTTCACCCAGGCGGATGGGTAGATCTACTCGTCCTACAGGGTGGATGACTCCTCCTCCAAACCCTACTAAAGGGTGGGAGGCCGGATGTATACAATCAGTTTTGTACTTCAATTTTGACAGACATTTGCTACTGATAAGATCTGAGGAGCTTCCGGTATCTATGAGGATTCGGCCAACTCTCTGATTGGCCACTTTACATTCAATGACGATAGGGTCGTCATGCGGCCCCCTGACCCCTCCTAGATCTTCTTCAGTAATGACAATCTCAGGAAATGAATTTTTGGAGGGCCGTTCTGGGTGAACAGAATTTACATCTAGCCGCCTGATATTGTCTTTGTTGCCCCTAATAGTTGGACCTCCTCCTGCGAAGCCGCCTGCAATAGTGTAGACGACTGCATCATCTGTATCAGAGCTGTCGGCCTGTTGATTCTTTTTGGCTGACTGTTTTTTCGAGGAAGTGCTCCCCGTGGATTTCTTGACAAAAGAGTCAAGATCACCTTGCTCAGCCAGGCGGTCTAGATACCGCATGAGACTGATGCATTCGTTGGTGTGATGACCAACATCTTCATGATAATCACAGAATTTATCTTGGTTCCGGTTGCTTGCAGAACCCTTCATGGGGACCGGCTTCTCAATAGAGATCCGTCCCTTGATTTCGTTTAGGATAGTTTGGCTATCCTTGCTAAACGCATACTTTGGGGAGTATGGTTTGAATTCTTTTTTCTTCTTCTGGGCCGGCTGTTTAGAGGAATCAGCCGCCCAGACCTCTTTTCTCTTCTTTTCCTTGTTTGACGACTGTATCTGTCGTCCTTCTTTTTTGTCGAACTTTTTCCCGTCCGACTGTTTCACTGTACTACAAAGATCAGTTGCCTGTATATAGGCTTCTGCTTCAATCAAGGCCTCCTGAAGAGTCGCCACCCTCTTTCGAACCAGATCAAATTTGAAGGTCGACCCGTCTTTGAGACCCCTGAAAAAGTCAGTATAAGCTACCTCATCCGGTAACCCTTGAATCTGTATTCTCATCAGGTTAAACCGCCTGATGTAGGATCGAAGCCCCTCCTTCTCACCCTGCTGAATTGTTCCCAAATCAAGGGTCGTCTTCTTCGCAGGAATGTTCATGGCGAAGTTGGAGGTGAACAAGTAAGCAAGCGTCCTGAAGTTGTTTACACAACCAGTCGGCAGGTTGCCGAACCATTGCTGTGCAATTCCTTTGAGAGTCGCTGGAAAACACTTGCACCAAGTGGGATCATCCAACCCTTGAAGGTACATTAGGTTGGAGAATGCCATCAGATGATCTTCTGGGTTAGTAGTGCCATCATAGGCGCCTACTAACACATTTTTCACTTTGGCCGGCTGAGCGGCTTCAGTGATTTCCTTGGAGAAGGGTGACAGCTGTTCACCAAGTCTAAGCAACCGTAGCTGCCAGTCCAAAGGTTGGAAATTTTTAGCTGCGTGTCCACCAAACGGAGGTGGCTGCATAAAATACTGTTGCTGTGGTACAAACGGTAAGTTTGGTACCGCCTGGTCGCTATGAAAGCCTGACTGACGGGAGGTGCCGCCTGACTGACTCTCATGACACGACTGGGTATGCCTCATCGAGGTATTTCGCAGACTTTCTTGAAAATTTGAAGTAGAGGCCGACTCTGACAGTCGGTCACTCTTCTTCTGTTCTAACAGCAGACGAGCGTCTGTGTATGTTTTCTTCGACCCGTCCGCCTGAATGTGACGAACAGGTTTCCTATTTCCTGGAGTAGGAAAACGGTATTTTGTGAGGTCAAGGGCAGGCGGCTCCCACTTCCTGGATTTAGGATGAGGAGTTCCCTCTCGCCCTTGAACCGGCTTCCTCTTGCCTGAGGTGGAAGGTTTCTTAGCCGACTGTTCCTTGGCCGGAACAGGCTTCTTATTAAGCAACTCTTGAATTTCTCCCTTGAAGTCCCTCATGAAGGTCATGAGTTCGTTCCTTGTGATGGGAGCAGACCCATCAGTCGCCTGTTGCCGAACAGACGGTGCGCCTGTTGGCTCGCTTACAGTTTGAAAATGTTCCCGTTCCCTCCTTTCGGTCTGACGGGTACGTCGGGCCCTTAGGGTCCCGTCTGGAGCTGTGTGAGCTTCAACTTCAAGTTCATTGTCAGTATCATGGTCCGACTGGATTTGAGGGTCGTCTAGGGGACGCCTCTCTTCAAAAGTCGGTACAAACGTGGATGCCATCTCAGAAGTACTCTCCCCACAGACGGCGCCAAAAATGTTTCGGGGTTTTCTGGTGTCCTGCGGGAGAGTTACAACACCGAGACTGGAACCGGACGCCTGTACCTGCAAAACAACGAAGACTCCTTGTGGTAGGAGCTCCGCCTCCAACGGTCAAGTTAGTACCTGATTAAGGAGTAATAAATGCGGAAATTAAAGTGATTTAGTCTCTCTAGGTGAGAGTGTTTAATGTGTAATCCGTGTGTTGTTTTCGAGTCCTCTCCCTCTTAATGAGGATTAAGAGGGGTATTTATAACCTCGGGAAGCGTGCCACTCTCTAGGTTTAGGGTAAACCTAGGGCTGACTGGGCCTCTAAACAGGATTGGGCCTTGTTGGCCGGTTTTCCCATTTGGCATGGGTGGACACGTGGCGTGTCTCAATTGGTCCGTAGAGGACGTATCTGTGATTGACACGTGGCAGGCTCCTATTGGCCTACGTGAAGGACACGTGGCGGAACCTGGTTGGTCCACTTGTCAGACGGTGATTGGTGGATAAAAATCCCCTAATCAATTAGTGTTTTCGAAATTAGGGTTTTGTGAATCCGAATTTTTTTTTTATTCCTAGCAGGTAAACTATACATCTTTATTGGCCAATAAACCTTAACCATACATCTTGATTGGCCAATCAATCTCAATCAAGGCATACCTAAATAAGTGAATAGTAGTTGATGAATTTTTTTAAATAATAATATTTACCTCAAAAACTTGTTTACGAATATATACAGGCTTAGATCAACCGATAATTTTCACTATTACTTATTATTTTATCATTATATATAAAATAGTATTGAATACTCGTATATATTCTCTAAGAAGTATTGGCAAAAACGAATACAAAAATTATTATTTTGTGGGAGTATTTTAAAATGATCAGAGATGACACATGTCATTCCAGGTTTCATCTTTAATATAATGCATTAAAAATTAAAGATGGTAAGTTATTTTTTATATTTTTAATAACAAAGATTGTACTACATTTAAATAAATCGAATTCATTTGGTTGTAATATATTAGACAACAATCTTTATAAGCAAATAATTTTTTAATTGGTACTAAGAATTTTTAATTGCTATTATAACATATAAATTAAATATATTTAATTTTATTGTTTAATATAAGTTGTCAATCAAAAACAAAAAAGAACCGATATTTTAGCTGACATTATTATTAATAGTAACTATGAACCGATGTTGTAACTTATAGTATTAATTATTACATTAACCGATCTTTTTAATTTTATGTCTTCACGTATCTATTTTAAAAAGGTCTATAAAATTTATGGTTTGAATCTCCCTAACCCTAACAGATGGAGTTACCATATTAACTGTTTGTCGAACGGAACCACAACTTAAGACGCTAGAATTACAACTTTGGATAGAATTAATGTCAAAATATTGACTCCAATTACAAATATTCATAACCATCCATATCTTTTATGACCGGTAATATTATGATTGACAAGTTATTATTAATCCATAATTACTCAATTCGAATAACAAAATTATCTCCTTATTCAACTACAAACCCAAGCACCTCAAAAGGGCACAAAACAAGATTAATACAAGTTAATAGAATAAGTTAAAATTAAAGCATCTAATTCTGATATAATATTATGAGAACAATATCATATGAGATATTATTGTGAAAAAATGTACGCGAGATAATGTGAATATATTTATATTAGGAAGATAAGATAATTTGGAATATTAGGGTTATGTATTCCTATTGTTTATATATATTGTAATGTAGCCAAAGAGAATGAATGGGAAAATACAATGAGAATTACTTTCCCCATAATTTAACAATCTAATATATATATATATATATATATATATATATATATATATATATATATATATATATGTATATATATATATATATATGTATATATATATATATATATGTATATATATATATATATATGTATATATATATATATATATATATATATATATATATATATGTACATATATATATACGGGGAGGTTCCGCTAAAAACAGAGCTTATGGTGAAAACTAAAAACAAGCAATCTTAGCCATTCATTACTAGCACAAAAGATCAGACGGTTCTAAAGCCCTAAGATCATTCCAACCTTACATATAATCAATTCAACTGTTTTAAAGGTTTTTTTTTTTTTTTGACAAACGCAACGTTTTAAAGGTCACTACATGCTAAAATAAGGTAACTTTATCTAAATTGACGATATTTACATAAAGTCACTATATATAAAAATAACGTAACTATATACAAAAATAGAATAGCTATATAAATTTTGATCATATTTACATAAAGGTCACTATATACAAAAATAAGATAACTATATCAATTTTTAGAATATTTACTTAGAGGTCACTATATACAAAAATAGGGTAACTATATCAATTTTGAGCATATTTACATAAAGGTCACTATATACAAAAATAAGGTAACTATATCAATTTTGACCACATTTATACAGAGGCCACTATATATAAAAATAACGAAGGTCACTATATATAAAAATAAGGTAATTATATAAATTTTGACAACATTGACCATATTTATATAGATGTCACTATTTACAAAAGTAAGGTAACTATCATCAGATAACTTCTCCTTCTCCGGCCTCCTTGTCATCAGATAACTTCTCCTGCTGCTCCTTATCATAAGATAATTTCTGCTGCTCCTCCTTGTCACCACCAAAGGAGTAGTCCACTGGCTCCAAACCCGACAGTCAAAGCTCATCAAACGGACAAACTTTCCTGCTTCACAGTCAGTCATCACCTGTTAGATAGCAGCCAGATTTTGGTAACATTGTAATAGTACCCTCCCTGCCACAGAACTTGCACTGAAATAATGAAAGGGTGATTGATTAGCAACAAGCCAAAAACACAATGTAACTATCACCATTACCAATGTAAGAAAATCCAAAATTTAGAAGGCAATAACACACAAAAAGCAACAGAATTTTAATAGCTGGAATGGAACAAAGTTAACAGCTCACAGAAAATTTATACATTGTAATATAATTCAGGCATCAAATGTCAATTAAGTGTAAACCAGAAAAATGCAGAAATGCAACACGTGATTCATACATATCAAAGCATCAAACACATTCTATAAGCTGCTGGACATTATTCAAGGCTTAGTCAATACAGATATAGCAACAACGTAAGCCATATATCACTTGAACGGGCACACTATTATTGAAAAAGATGGAATCAGTACAGCAAATGACTGAACAATAGATAAAAAAAAAAGAATTCTAAGAGCCAGAGCAGAAGTACTAGTACAACATCAATACACTATCATAAACCATTCCCCAAGTGCCAATACAAGGCCATCAATTGACATCCGGAAGAAACATATTAAACAAGTCCTAATTCCTAAGCAAATAATCCTAAGATAACAGAATTGCAGAAATTTCATACCAAACTTAAACGCTATATCATGTTGAACAGTTCAATAAATCAGACAGGTATCAAAACAACGAGGAGAAATTTCCAGTTTGCAACCCTGGTGTTCATAATCTTTAAAACATGTTCAATACTCCTGTAATGGATGAAGAAGCTTAAGGGGTATTCAACTCGCTTCTAGCAAATTGGCAAGGCTTCTAATGGAGCTTCTGCCATTAGTTCTAAACATATACTCCTATGACTAAGAAAATAAAAACATGTACTCCTATGATTTTCTAATTTACTCAAACCTAATTTACTCATTAGAAGATTAATTTTAGACCTAAGTACCACCTCAAATGTTGACAGTCAAATTACAAATTCAATAGAAATGAATAATTCAACTCTCGCAAAATTCAAGCAAACATGCTTTTCGGTCAAAATTAATCTACAAAATTAAAATATAAACAAAGACAATACAATATTCTGATGCACCAACATTTTTCATCATATGTACAATGGAAAAATTCAAATAAACATTAAAAAAATTCATCAATTATCAAAATTCAAATCGTTAAGCTAAAAAAAATAACGGAAAAAACACACTCACTCTTCCATAAGCGTTCTTCTCGAGGTCATTAGCAAGCAGATCAACAATGTCTTTCCTCAAAAACTTCTCCGTCGCATTTCATTCGTCGGACAACTTTGATTCGAGTTCTCGTCTGCTTAATCAACGATTTACTGCAATTTCAATCCAAAAAAAACAAAACTCAAAATCAATGAAATGAATCAAAATCTAGCAAAAACGAGTTAAATTTGGTTGAAAAAGTGAAACAAAAATTACGAAATTAAGTACTCAAATCAAGCAAAATAACGAAATTAACACAAATAACTTACTTGATAATAGATTGTAGAGCTAAGAAATTGCTGAAAATCAAAGTAATTGAAGCTAGATTTGAATTAGTAGCATGAAATTGGTAGAAGAATTGGGAAAGTAGGAGAGAGAAAGTAGCAGAGAGAAAGTAGGAGAGAGAAAATAGAGGAGGAAAAAGTTACGTGCAAATGAAGGAGGAGAGAGAAATTGCTATCATTTTGCTTTAATTTGGGGGAAAAATCTGAACCGTTAGATGAGGGGTGAGTAATAGATCATAATCTACGGTAGAGATTGCATGTTTTCAGTTTTCAGTTTTAATCTTGTTTTCACGTGATCCACACTCTATATATATATATATATATATATATATATATATATATATATATATATATATATATATATATATATATACATATATATATATATATGTATATATGAGAGCCATGTACTCGTAGGATTTAATTTTTTCAGCGTACCATGTAGGATAATAAATTTTAGTGGTAACCAATTAAATGCGAGATTATTAATTTCTTTCAGAATTAAATAATTTAAATGACACATAAGAAAAATTGGCGAATGAGATTTTCCAGTTTAAATTAATTAAATATAATATATTATCTTTTGATATAGGAGTTTTATCTATAAAAATTTTAGCACATAAATATATGTATAAAAAAATTATTTTAAAAAATTCAAACAAACCGTGCATCGCACATGTTTCATCTAGTTTCAACATAAAGCAAGATTAATAATGACTATTGTTCAATGTAACATCAACTCATATACAAAGCACTCCCTTCTTGAAATAAACTCAATAAGTGGTGTGTACATATATTTCGGTTAAGATGATAATACAAGTTTAGATAGGTTAAGTGAAATTTATCATGTCTTATATTATCGTTAAATCTACCATATTGTTTATAATATCATATTGTTTTTAATACCTCACAATAAAACCAGGTATCTTACTTAAGGGAATATTAATCCAAATTTGTTTAAATGTATATTAGGTGCAACTCACAACTACAATATTTAATTGAACTACTCTCAAATATTGATGGTTAATTTCATCAAAATGGTTGGAAAAGCTTGAAAAAATTAAGAACAAGTTGCTTTCTTTTGATCTTTGTGAAATATGTAATATTATTTTTGTGATTTTGTTAACAAGTCACTTGAATTATAATGACAATTATGCGATATATATTTCGAATTTATCCTTTACAAATACACGTAATAATTAATTATATATACTGTTTCTCGTAATTTACACTTCCAAAAATTATTTCGGGTGTTAAGAATATTTACCAAAAATTTTAATATTCACATAATTTTGGCTATTGTAAACTTATTCAAATCCTTTTAGTTTTATCCAATCATCACATACTGTTAAACTAATCTAAAATTCATAATCAAATCTGCATCACGAAACTATTCACATAAAAAATAATATCTTAGTTACTATATATAATTAATAAATCACAATCGCATAATATTATAGGGCTAATTTTTTTAATATGTTACATAGTACAAATGAAAGTCCACCTTAAAACTAATACTAGTCATAATTATGGAAGGATTGTACATAACCAAAATGATAAACAACATTAACATATAAATCCGAGTGTTAACAACTTAATCCAACAACACAAACTGATTAACACCAACTTCCACATAGCTTAAAACTACCCTAAACAAAATGATACCCAACCATTCTGTTACACGTTGTAGCCCTTAATCGTTCATTCACTATTCAACACAGTCATTACCACCATTAGTCTAAGATGGTCTTCAACTTCTTGTGGCAAACAGACTTCAGGTTATAAGGTGGGTCTGATTCCTTTCCCTGCATTAAGGAAAATAATTAGTGATGATATTCTATTAATACTAGTAATTCAACCAAACTAATCCTAAGTATTTTACCTGTAAAACAACATTGGTTAAGGCATAATTAGAGAATAGAGGGTTCTTCACCGTCTTGATGACCTCTTCCTTGTATAGAATAGCAGTTCCACCATAGCATGAATGGATGAACGAGGTGTGCACTCTGAAATTCACGAGCAACTTAGAAATAACCTCTTTCACGTTTTCATCAAAATACCTTGTTTCCAAAAGAATAACAACTGAAGGATTCACAACAACATACACCCACTCAAAATTCTCTAGGAAAGAATCCCGACCAATAACACGCACATTCCAACACACCATTTTAGTGTTTAAGGGCAAATTTTGCAAATGAGGGACCCAATTGGGGCATACAACTGGATCAAATGCTACTATGTGGAATGGCCCCCATTTAGGAAATTTCTTAGCTTTGTAAATTTGTATGATAACCATACACTCAAATATGGGAACATCCAAAACCTGGAAAGCGTCTATGAATGTTCCCATGCAAAGGTACACCGTATCCAAGCACAACCTAATCGGTGGAATATTTAAATCCAACACCGGCTTTGGATCAATTAGGTGTTACCATGGCTTGAGTAGTGATTTTGCTTCAATGGGTAAAGCATAATAATCATCAAAGTTTGGGATATGGGTTGGCTTTGTCACCGTTTTTAAGTGATCAGGCCGCATTTTGTGAGTGGAGTACTGTGGGTTAAAAGCATTTGGATTATGGATCATTTGGGCAATAGTTTCTCTATAAACAAACTTTGGGTTGTCGGCTTCATCATGACATAGGTATATCATGGAATTGAAATCAGGCTCGGTTTGGGTAGCTTCAAGTGGATGGAAATATAAAAAGCAACGGTTACATGTCTTGGTGTAAGCAAGTCTTGGCATAGGCATGGTGGAGAGAAGGATAATTTGGCAAAGGGGTTTCCAAAATACATACAAGGTTGGATATGAGGGCATGAGTGGTGGAAACTCTACTATATATATAAATAGTGGGGCCACCGAGTAAGCCTTAAAATTTTGGTAGGCAAAAATCTTAATATTATGGATAAGGAGTTTACTAAATGTCCTTATTTTAATTACAATTAGCATATATTTTATTTTTTAATATAGATATCACGTATCGATTAGGATATGTGATTTTTTAATTTTTATTACATTCTAACATTTATTATTTCTTCAAATGTACAACAAAGTTTTGGATTGTTGTGTATAAATAATATTAAAGTCTTCAATAGTTCTTCAAATTCTCAAATCTATTTTGGATTGTTGTGTATAAATAATATTAATGACTTCTTAAAAATTTTAGCGGGCCATATTATTGTCGTTATATAGTTTGGAATATGTCAGTATTATTTATTGTGTTGGTGCTTATTCTAGTTTGTCTTTAGAATTGTTTGTTTTTTGTTAATTTTTATAAATTTTATTATGTCTCTATTGTCATAGCATTTGGTAGCTATTTAGTTGGTATCAAGTGTATATAGTGCTAGTTTTTATGTGGGTTTGAGGATATTGATCATATAAATGCATATTGATACTTAATTATTTTATGTAAATTTTAAGGTACTTAGTCCACATGTGAATAGCAACTTATCAATTTACTTAACCACTTTCAAACTATTGTTAGGGAAAATGATATATTGAAAACTATTACAAATTTTATTTTATTCTAGTAGTTTGATGATATCAACCAATTGCTATCAACTGTCTACCCTAATTCAAGTGTCTATTAGCCATTTACAAATTTTATGATATTCTAGTAGTTTGATGATAATCAAGGTCATTTAGGTTAATTACAATTGCTATCAAATGTCTACTGTAATTCAAGTTTCAGCTAGGAGGTTCAAGTCAGTAATATTTCGAATTGTAAGGTTAAATGTATTAGCTAAGTCCAATACCTTTTGTTTGAAAAGTAATATGATTCAGTTAGATTTTGTGCAATTAAAGTAGAAAAGGCTATCAAAATTTTACCAAATAATGTTGGATAAGTAACACCTACCTAAGGCAGGGTAATGATACCCCTAATGTACCAAAAGATTGATCTAATGTATGGGATGTCTTGGCAATTTAGAAAAGACAAAGCTTTCAACTTTAAAATTCATGTAGGAAAACTAAGACTTAGCTTAGAAAGGTCAAAGAAAACTAACAGCTAAGTACTTTCGGATAGGGTAATAATACCCCTACTTTACGGAATGACTCTTTAAAGAAGTGGGATGTGCACATTTGGTGACCGAGCTTTCATATATTGTCAATGTAAGGCAATTCTTGCAATGAGATTTTCTAAATACGCCGTACAAATCAATGTCAATATAGATAAATTTTGCTAGTTACAATTGTCGAGGTAAATGTCCTGTGTGTAAACAACTATAATGGGTAATCCAAATTGCCTCGTTTTAATGTTAAACTTACCTAACAATGTGGATTTTATGTGTAAAAATTAGATTGAAAAAAATAATTACAGCCAAGTTGTGCATTTTCGACATAAATTGGTAGCTCTCTAAAGTTTTAATTTAGAAATGCAACAACTCTCCGGTGTTTTAAAGATACTAATTGATATTCATAAGCAAATGTATTAAACAAATTAAAGCTATAGGCGATGGCACGATTTACTAAAATAAAATAATTTTGATATTACTATATTTTTACAAAAATCTTTTTGATCTTAATATATATTTTACTAAAATTGTATACATTTTACACTCACACACATATATTTCAATAAAACTTAATTTGAAAGACTGAATAACAACATTGGGTTTTTTAAACGACGACTTTTTAAATCCAATCCATTCCAATACTTAAAAGACGCCGGTTTTATAAAATCCAATCCGATCCAAAGTTCTCAAGAACTCAGTCCGATCCAATCCGAATCATAATTTTAGCTAACTTGCAAGTTTGAGGGAGTTAATAGATAATTATACTAAAAATTAAATGATAAATAACATAGTTTGGAATTCATAGTTCTTAGGATTAATTCATATATTATAAACATAATATAATTTTAGATAACTTATATGATTGAAATAATGATCAATCAACACAATTTTACAAGATCATTACAATGTTTCCTTAGTTGTAAAAGCAAGATATCATTTCTTGGTTAAATCAGCTTCTAAGAACGTCAATCTAATCTAAAATTTCAATGTAATCTAACCTAATCTTATCCGAACTCTAATATTATCCTTACGAGGTCAATCTAATCTAAAATTTTAATCTAATCTTAACGATATAGTATTAAACGACAATAGTTCGAGATCGATCTTATAGTGTATCAGTTTTATGTCTTCACATAAAACTAAATTGTACATTCGTAATTCTTCCTAATTTTAAAAATGCATGTTATTAGAACAAATTTTTACTTAATGATCCATGTTTGCGTAGTGTACATAGGCAAGGATAAAATAATTAATACTCTAATAACGACTTTTTTATTAACCATATAGGATTT